ACTCCTTTTCATTCCAAGTATTCTACACAGGCTCTTCTTTTAAAGCCCCCTTTCACTAATTCACAGCAGTTTCCAACACTGGATATAGAATCCTATATACAATATGTATCATTACTCTTCCCCCTTCAAGTTCTGTAATTAGGAGGGCTGAGAAACTCTGGACCATTTCTAGCAGCAGTCGCACTTTGCCACCCTGTACCGTGTGGGAGGGCTGCAGCTGTATGACACCGGCATTTCCAAACAGCCAAGATTTCTTGTGAGGTATAAACGATAAATCCATATCCGCTGTTGGAGGCACTATCTTTTTCCTCTCAAAGATAATCCAGAAAGTTTAAGCACTGTGCTAGCTCTGTGAGGGCCATGTGTTTGTTTCTGTGGCAGTGAACACCGTGCACGTACACTCTTCTCCAGCCAACCTCTGACTCCTGCGGAGCCCCTGATCTCAGTTCTGTCATTCTCTCCTGGGACCCAGATCAGCTGTCCCCACGCCAGGGCTTCCCCTTGGCTGTCACTGATTACATAGACCCGTCACATGAAGCCTTTGCGGCCAGCCAGCTAGCTGAGTCACTCCGCTGATAAGCTGACCACGCAGCTTCTTGTGTGGAGGACTCTCACGATGTGAAAGGCGATGTTATCAAAAAACTCAGTCCAACACAAACATAAGTATATGAGTGACACGAAGTACATGAGTATTTTTGCTAGCTGCCACTGGATTATTTACTTACTTTAGGGCATCACAAGTTTAACTGCTTCACTTAATCACAGCTCAAGCAGATACTTGAGAACAAGAAATCTTTGGCTTGGTCTGCTGTAAGTTTTAAAGCTGCTTGGACAGCTGCCTTCTCTGCTTTAAGTGATCTATTAAAAGTCCAAATTGCCTCTTATTGTTGCCTTATTACTTTACAGGCAGTCACTCCCCAGGCCTCCTAACCTGAATGGTTTATCTCAATGTGGCTTTGCCTGAAGAAGAAAAGCCATGCTACATATCCCACTAATCATTGATCCTGTGCTTGCTTGAATGCTCAGGTGAATGGACTGGATTGTCCCAGGTCAACCTTTTCCATTCGATTTTCCTTGTAACTGTGCTAAATGTGTGCACACACTCACGAGAGGCAGTGCAGCAGCACCTCTGCTTGCAGATGTGTCTCTCCCAGCAGATGTGGGGCTCTGCTGCTTCACACGACCTGCTGCTTAGCTCCCCAAACCCTTCAATGCTCCAAAGGACAACAGGGACTATTTGTTTGCCCTTCAGGATCTTAAATGCAACTGGACAGGCCCATTAGGGTAAACCAGCTCGTGCCTGGAACAGCCTGCATTTCAATGCCATAACTGTGAGCAAAAACGGGCAGACAAGGCATAGTTACATGGCAATGCAAAGTACTATCCCTTCTGCCTGACAGGAAGGTGGACCAAAGCTCAGACAGGCTGTGTAACTCACCAGACATCATGAATGGGGCTTGTCTGCACTGCCAAATGGATGTTACTGTTAAGATGCCTTGTCTATCAACAACCTGAGGTGGTAAATCAAAAAGGTTTATCATAGCCTGTACTTAACAGTTAAGGTCTGGATGACATGTATACATTAATCAGGTGCTGAGCGTAAGCTAGTGAGTTGGACTCTTTACAGGACTTATCCGCTGGGATGGGGGCAGGCTTGCCAGCATGGCCATACGACTCCTGGGCTGAGCGGGTTCAGCTCTCCCTCTGCCCTGTGTGCCTGTGCCCAGGATCCTACGGGCAGAACTAGCAAGGGCTGCCTGAGTCCTCCAGCATAAGCACGCAGAAAGGAGAATAGACCGCAATTGTGAATTAAGCATGTCTCTTAAGTACCAACCAAGCACGGCGGTGAACGAGCTATCTTTCTGCTGTTACAAGAAGAGAGCAAATTCAATGGTGGTACAACACTTTCCTCTAAGTGTTCAAAACTCTCCAGCAGACCCACTTGGCCTACTCTACAGAACAGAGAAATAAAAGCAGCTAGGGGAATAAAAGTGCCCTAGGATCACTGTAAATCTTTACTTCACGGAAAATCTTATCTTGCACATGAATATGAGCTGCGAGTAAATTTAATGTGTGGATTAGGTACTGTGCGGTCTCCCTCATGGTGGGCTTTTCAGACTAAAAAGAACAAAAGAATAATAATGAGTGTTGTGTTTCGGTGTGATTACAAACAGCTGTAATTTACAGCTGGACATTCTCCATTGCAAATGTATCCAGCAAGTGCTTCTGGGTTAGTGTAACAGACTGCAAAAAATTAGCTTTTAACTTCAGCCTTAAGGTCATAGTCCTGGGACTATGGGAGTCAATAATAAAATCTGTTTAGCTCAGTGGGATTAAGCAGGTTTAAGACCTGGCTTAACCACACTGCTTACTGTTAAATAACAACAGAACACACTGAATATTTTAGTTACAGACATTTTTCTTCATTTGAAAGCTATTCAGGCCGTGGATATGAGAGTCAGACAATTGAGGACATACTAGCACTAATACCATTAAGGTATATGAGTTAAGTTCTTGCTCTTCTCTGTCCCAGAAACTGAGCAATCTGTATAGTTAGACCACTTTACTGAAGAGCACAATAAAATTAAAACCAAGCTGTGCAGTATAAACATCGAGGATTTTTCATGAGAGAATGAAAAGCTAATGGGGCCAGTGTATATTTCCTGACAAAATAGTTGGTGCGTGTGCAGAGCAACCTGTCTTGTGGAAGCAGAAAAGCTGCTTCAGTCAAGCTCCTGGGTCACTAATCTTTGTGTTTGACATAAATCTGCTGGGTGTTACTATGTCATTCTGAAAACAAGACAGTGCAATACACTGAAGAAATCAATGGCTACAGGTTTAAAAACTCTTACTTTTTTTGTTTGTTGGTTTGTTTTGTTTTGTTTTATTTTCCTCTTTCAGTTTAGCTAAATATTACCTTTTTAACAGAACCTGAAAGCAAAAACTGCAACAAGAACTGCTGGAGGATATTAAAAAAAAATAATAACAGAGGCAAAATTACTGAGAGCTTTATTTAAGATGCCATCTCCCTTTGTGCTGGGAAGTGCTAGTGTGTGACCGGGAGCTCTTAGTTGCTACTGGGACACAAGTAATGAGCAGCAATATCATAGGCATCCTCATTTTAGCCAAGACTAGACAGAAACTGCTGTTGCAGTGTGGGTTTTTGGCCCCTTGCCCTCCTGTTTGCTCACTGCAGTAAGGTTAGGGGTGGCAGGGAGGCACCCGCCCGCAGGGTGCATCCACGCCCTTCCCAGCACCTCCTCTAGAAGGAGGGTGCCCCAGCAGCCGAAAGTTTGCAGAGCAGGTGGGAAAGCTGTAGTCTGTAGGCATGCTTTTAGGGGTAGAGAGGAGAATAGCTGATCATAAAGACTAAATCCAAGGTGTGACAGGCAACATTTAAGCCCTTTTGCCCTGAGAATGAGAGCGGCCTGTGCCCAGCTCCCTCACCCCAAAGTGAGGTAGGTATCATCTATCCACCACCAGCACTTTTCTTTCGAGGGGAGACAGAAAGTGCACTGCGGGGTTTGGGGCTTGTTAACTACCTCCAGGGGCACTTCTGCAGGAATTCTCCTCATTCAGCCCAGGGGAAGGATGCTGAGAAAAAAACCCCACATTTTCTTTGGTCATGGTATTGTTCCCACCAAGTGCAAAAGCTGCTTTGCCTCTGGGGCGAGCTTGCACACCTCCAGGGAGAGGGGTATAATGCTGCCTCTGAATCCTCTTTCATTTTGAATTTGTCCCAGTTACAGCAAATACTTGTGTGCCCTACAACTGTGCCAGTGATTTCACCCATATCCCATACATTTCACTCGGGAATTTTTTTCCTTAAGGGGGGGGTGGAAAAAATTCAAAACAAAACTGTGTTTGTAAACTTGGGGGGGGTGGGGAGAAGAAGGTCGATAATTTTGGCAGTCTTAGCCTCCAAGCAGAGAGAAATGTTACTCATCCATGCACAACATATAATTCAGCCTATGTGACAGGCTCTGCTCTGGAGAAATCCTGGCCTGAGCTGGCTTCCAGAGTCAATTACCGCTTATTCCCAGGGAGGCGGGGGGCGGGGGGCCAGACAGAGGAGAGGGGGCTGCCAACAAGGCATGGGGAAATTTACACTGTGTCAGCCTGCATGACACAGTACCTCATTTGTTGATAAATGTAAATCTGCTAGTTCTTTTTCACAGGCACTAAAATGTACAGTCTCTCCTCCCCCTTCTCTCCTCCCGTTCCCAAAACTGGAAAAGAAATCAGGACCATCTTAGAAAGCTACCTTATATTTCAATCAATCCTCTTTCATAAAAGTCATTTAAGGTAAATACCTGTGCAGACCTAAAGCCCAACTATAACATTTACTATGGCCCAAATCCTGAATTCCTCACTTGGGCAAGTTTCCCACTGAAGTTAATGGATTTTTGCTTGAAAAAGACCTGAGTAAAACCTGAACATTGACTAAGGGTTTGGTCCACTGCTTATCTGCCTGGAGCACTGCTGCAGTTCCAGAAGAAGTGAAATAATAAATTAAATTCCTCCAAAATGCCAATCCCTCAAAATTTAAGGGGTAAAAAAGGGCATTGTTTTTGTGCATAAAACATACAGAGATTCTCATCAAAAGAAGAGTAATTCCCAGGGAAAGGATTTGGAAAAAGTCAGAAGAGAACATCTCGGAATAAATGAAGTACTTATTGATGAAAAATGAGCTCAGATATATCTCAGCAAACTCTAAAACTCAGAATTTACTGCATCATTCATGCCTTCTCCAGTAAGTTTCTTATCTCTCGTTTGGTATCATAACAAGGGATTCTGCATACTCTGTATGAAATACAAGACTGTGATTTTTGCAGTAATAAACTCTACACATGCATGACAAATCCAAGCATGCAAAATATTTAACATCCCAGTTCACAGATACTTTGGGGACAAAATCCGATTATGAGTTATATGCCACAATAAATAGGGCTCAACGTTTCATAAAGCAATTTATAGTTCATAAAAATGACAAAATGTACCTGTCAGATAGAACGCGGAGAGCAGATCTCTGTGCTGCCTGCTGGAAGAAAGGGCAGAGATGTTTATTTTATATTCTGACTTGAAAATTACGAGCACAATCAACACTTTAAAAAATGCGTTACATACATTTTTGTCACGTGTTCAAAATGTTAAAGTATGAGCAAAGTAGCCGAGAATCTACAGTCAAATGGACATTCCAGCCTAGTAAATGTAAGAACACTTTGTTAAGTATGCCATAAACCAGAAGACTGTCAAAGCACTGCACAGTATTTGAGGTCTGAACTACTGTATTTAGATGATTTTTTCTGCAGTCCCTGAGAACTCAGCAGGGCTCAGTTCTCTGCCTTCCCGTCGCCCTGCTTCCGCACTCCCACTCCCTCTCCTTTACCATTAGTCTCCTCCCATTCTTCCACAGAAACAAACATCACATATTTGGTTCCTTTTGCGATGAAGCCCGTAGCTATAATTATAAATTTTGTAAAGCTTGCCAGAGCTGCTGCAGACTTTTCATGAGTGCTGCCATGTTAATCTGCTGGCAACTTTTGTCTACACAGTACAGGATTGACCTGTTGCTGGTTTGCTCCTCAGTTTTTGCCTAGTACAACTCTTTGGATGGGGTGGGGAAGTATGGTGCTTGTTCTTGTGTTAACCAGCAGGTCTGGGAATAGAAATTGTAGCCTCTCATGTTTAACAGGAGTTCCAAGCCTATCCCCGAGCTAGTCTGCCACTTTATTATTATTATTCTTTCCCCTCCTTCAATCACTTCAAGCAGTGTGATTCATGGCTTCGGCACAGTAACCAGCTGCTAAGCAAAGATCAAACCCATAATGTTTTGAAAATCTACTTTAAAGCCTCCATTCTCCTTGGAGCAGCCCCAAGTGTCCCCTTCCCAGCCGTACCTGCCCAGGCTGTGCCTCACCTGGCACAGAAGGGACACACAGCTAAGCAGCATGGAGAGTCACGGGGCAGGGAATTAAATGTCTGTTTTCTCTTTGCAGTTACCAGTAAATATGTTTTGAAACCGTTCTCTCTGGCTTCTCAGGCTGCTGGGGGCTGCATCCCTATTCCTGAAAAAGCTGCACAGCTTGCAGGCATCCCGCTCAGCACCAGAGAGCATGGAGGTAACCCTTCTGGCTAGTCAAAATGCTGCTGACAGGCTGCAAAGAAAAACTTGACAAAACCTGACTTGTGGTTACAGTTAAGGAGCATTTCACATAAAGGTGTGAAAAGATCCCCTGAGTAGATCCCTGCAGATCTGACAGGGGTGCAGAAATGCTTTGGGAAGAGTTGCTACTTGATTTTGGAAGCAGCATTTCTGCTTGTGAACTTTCTGGAATAACTTGTGTCTCTGGGGTTCCCTGGTGAGAAGTAGTTTGCCATGTATCACACTCCAAATTGTTAGAAGACAAGGTGTCATGGCACACAGGAAGGTTTTGCCCTAGTGCTAACTTTTTGTGGTGGGCAGACAACCTGTGGGAAGGGCTGGGAAGGTCCCATTACCTCAGTAGAAGTGTGCCCATGGCACGAACATGGCATCATCTCTTACAGTCTCAGATAGGTCATCCGATTTGCATGCTCTTTGGATACAGTGCCATGCATACAGACCACTGAGTACACGGCAGGATTTAAGGGGGCAGCCAAACCTCCAGTCCAGCAGGCTGGCACCATTTTTACTCTCCTCTGCACAGGGCTCGTTATGACAATTACATCCCACGTCTTGCATAAAAATGCAGGAGATACCCAAACTGTAGGTTTAAGAATGTCTTATGGCTTAATTTCTTCTTTAATGTGCTGAGTCAATGCAAGTTCACATCCCCCCATATCTAATCACCCTCACTAGCAGGAAGCTATGTCCATTTTGAGTTTTAAGCTGCCCAGCTTCAGTGCTGAGGCCTGCGCTGTGTTATGTCTTTGCCTGCAAAACTCATGAGTCTCCTCTCACTATCAGAGCCCTTTTCCATGGTCAAGTTGTGTAGACACCATTCAGGTCACCTCTCCTTCTTTTCTCCTGCCAGCCGCCAGGGCTAGTCTTTCCCTCACAAGCAGCTACTACATGGCAGTGTTTAAGCCACTTCTACTGTTTCCCACTCTTGGCTCAGGCCACCACAGGTGCTTACATGGTTGTGCAATGCAACAGGCTGGAAAACTGATCCTGCTGAAAAATAACACATTTCCTTTTTGGTTTTGTTTGGGTTTTGCTTTTGGTTTTGTTTGTGCTTTTTTTGGTTCGTTTGTTTTTTGTTTTGTTTTGTTTTGTTTTGTTTTTTGGTTGTTTTGTTTGTTTGTTTGTCTTTTTGTTTGTTTTGGGTTTTTTTTGTTTGTTTGTTTGTTTGTTTTTTTCTTCCCCAGGTTATTTGTAATGTGGATTCCTTTTCTGAGCTGCTTCTCCAAGGAGAGGGAGTCACATCACAGGGTGCAGTGTGAGAATGGGAACGGGATGGTGGGGACAATGTGCAGCAGAGTCCTTTGCTGCTGAGATAAGGGCATGTCCACCAGCAAGGTCATTTTTACCTGACATCACTCTCAGTCCCTTCTGGGGAGCTGCAGAGCACCCCCAGAGCAAGGTATGTGGTGGCTGCCTTAGCCAGAAGGCACTGAAGGAGTCAGGCTGCTCTGTAGCCACAGGCCTCATGGACTTTACAGAGACCTCAAAAAAACAAGCATGGACTTTAATGACACTAAAATCCCCAAACATGGGGATGTGGGGTGCATATCGCTCTTGTATTTCCCTAAAATCCCTAATATTGAGAGAGGGAGAAGAGCTGGATACTTTCTCTTCCAGTCTTGAGGAGAGCTCCAAGAGGAGAGGACTCTTGCCTTGACCTGTTTGGTGTGCTAATGAGGCCAGGCCATATGGCGTTGGACTGCAGCCTCAAGAACCAATATTCAGTTTCTGTCTTGGTACATCCAGTTGCTGACAGCTTTGAAAAGGTGATCCCTTCTGGGCAAGAAACTGGGTTCAGATGACAGGCAGGGCAGCAGAGAGAAATGCACAGGTACTTTTCAGTGAGATCATTCTACTTTTTCAATTAGTCTCTCATTTTAAGTCCTTTAATAAATGTCCTTCTTCACCAGGATGCAAGGCAGATTGCATGGGGCACCTCACTCTTTGATTGGTGGTTGCACGTTCTGTAAATGAAACTATTGATTTCTTTCTTACACCATTTGAAAATACAACCGTGTTTGATTGCATATTTGTGTGACCCCCTGAGTTGGTAATGGCCCCATTTCTAAATGATGGGGGAATAAGATCCAGTCACAAGTTTATTCTTCCTCCCTGGAGAAACAGATCTATTGCCTGCAATGAAAGGCAGTTAGCAACTATTCGGCAATTTTAATTCTAGCCTATATTGCTCCCCTCTCCTTGAGAAAGTGAGCTGTTGTAATTAAAGGTAGTTAGCAGTTCCCTAGCAAGTATAAATACTTGCAGCCACTAATTACAGTCTGCTCTCTTGTTCCCCTGCTACAGGACTGGGCTGCTCAATTTAGGGGGAAATATCTGCCCTTGCTTCTTGCTAACAGTTTTTTTATGACTCCATTCAAACTCATTCATGAATCCCCATGGAGAGTCATGACCCATAGTTTGAGAAACTCCAGCTATAGAAACAGCTTTCTGTGATTTATTATGTTTCTAATATGCTGGTATTATCTATGTAACAATGTAAGCAAAAGGGTGGTACTTAGTATCATATACTGCCTGCATGACTATTTTTTTAATAGCTTGATTTTAATTGTGCTATTTAATTTGCATTTTATTTTACATCATTAACAACTTTACTAAGGCTAACTCATCATCCATCAAGAAAGATGAGAATATGTTCTACAGTCTTTATTATTCCTGGAAGTAAGTGACTATGCTGGTTATAGAAATTAGAGATAAGAAATAATTTTGGAGTTTGATAGTGCTGACAGAACATAAAGATCTCTAAGATTTGATACTAAAAAGTGCTTTATGGAAAGTTTAATATTCTGTTGATAAGTGATTGAGTGTGTTCACCAGTAATGAGTATAATCCTGAATTTTCAGTTCTTGGAATCAGTGGGGTTACTGATGGAGGAAGGTTCTCCTCAATATGAACATGGATACTGGAGGTCAACCCACCACATAATACCTTTGAAGCTGAGTAGGAAGCACGGAGGGGTAAAAAAAAAATCACTTAGATGACTCAGGTACTTTGGCTAGAGAAACCAGCCACAATAAATGAGATGAATTACTCCGTTTCACTACATCAAGAGTTGCAAATTACAGGATATGGGCTGGTTAGACTTCTTCGTCCCCCACTTGAGTTGGTTACAGATACATTTAGGGCAGAGTTTCATTGATCTGCCTATAGTTCATTAGCCATTCATGAAAGATTCTAGCTGTACCCCAAGACTACTGGAACAAAACAAGTTTTCAGCCAGCAGTAATCATGTTCAGGTTCTCAATCTCCAGAGATTACATCTCCTTTCTCCATCCTTTATTGCAATGATCCAGAGCTTGGGAACATAATCAGCAGATATCCAGGTTTCAGTGTGTGTTAAATGAGCTACCAAAATTACTTGAAGTGTCACAAGTTGCAATCTGTTGTTGAAAGGAAATCAAAGAGGAAATTAAATACTTTCATTGTAATTGGGACTGAGCAGTGAGCTAGTTCACTGTAATTGGGACTGAGCAGTGAGCAGAACGGGTTGAATACAGCTATTGAGCTGGAGATACAGGAGTGCTAAGAGCGGTCCCCAGAAATCCCTCTCTTTTTTTTTTTTTTTTTTTCCTTTTCTTTGTTTTTTTAATCTGTTTGGAACAGAATTGCTTCATGAACTGCTGGGCTTGCAGGCATTTTTGGATAAGAGGCAAATGAGAACTACTGAAGCATGAAGCATGTTCTGCTGGGCTCGGTAGAGTGTATTGGAGGCACTGTAGGCTGACTGTGGATGCATTTTCCTGTACCTCACCCATGGCATGCTTTAGCAAAGAAATTGACCATTGGCAGATTCAGACATCTTGCTTTCCATTTTTCCTGTCCTGTGGATTAATTGCTGTTATCGCGAGAGAGCTCAA